TTCACCGAGGCCTTGCGCCTCCGCGTCGGCGCCGCCAGGCCGCTGGACCCGGTCCCGCGCGGCCTCTGCGGCCAAGCGATTCTCGACCGGGCGGGGTCGCGCGCCCTCTGCTGCTGCTGGGCAGAGTCTACACGGGGGCACCACGCGGTTGCGCGCCGGGTGCGCGCCGCGGCCACAGTCTGCGACCCTGGCGCAGAACTCGAGGCCCCGGGCCTGGTGCCAGGCACGCGCCTCCGACCTGCCGACGTGCTGACCCGCGCCCTCGGCAACGGCCTCCTGGCCCTCGACGCGGGCATCGCCTCGCCCGACGCTGCGGCGGCCGGCCCAGGCTGCGCGGCCACCATGTACCGGCGAAAGGTCGAGCACTACTCGGCTAACGCCAGCGCTCTGGCGCGGCAGAACATCACCCACCAGCCGCCGGTCTACGCCTGCTACGGCCGACCGCGCCCCGGGACGACAGCCACCCTCCGCACTCTCGCGATGAAACAGTCGCGGAGGCGCGGCTGCTCGGACGGGGAGTGGTGGCACAGGCGGCCGTCCGCGGCCATCGGCGCGGAGCTGCGGCGCCGCGCCGCCCGGCAGGCGCAGGCGCGCTGGCCCAGCCGGGAGGAGGAGGGCGCCACCTAGGCACCCCGTTCCCGCGGCACCAACGCCACCCCTTGACCCGCCCCCGTCCGCCCCCGCGCACGCGCGCGCCTAACAGCGGGGCTGGTGGCTCACACCCCGCGGCCGTGCCTCCCCGCCCCCCCGCCGCCTGCTCGTCTGCCCCCCTGCCTTGCCTGCCCGCCGCCCCCCCTTCCCCCCCTGGGCCCGGAGGCCGCGTGCATTTGCTCAAAGCACCGGGCGGCTGTGTAGCTGCTCGTTTCCCTCCTCCTGGTCCTCCTCCTCCTCCTCCTCCTCCTCCTCCTCCTCCTCTCCTCCCTCCCCTCCTCCCCCCCCCCCCTCCTCCCCCCTCCTCCTCCTTTGTACGGGTATCTGTCGGTACAAACTTTAAACAGCTTTTCTTTTCCAGGCTGTCGCGAGACTGCGCGCTGGAGAGTTGGGCCGTGCACCTGCGTCTGTCCAGTTTCTTCAGCGTTCCTCCTTCTCCTCATCCTCCGCCTCCTCCTCCTCCTCCTCCTCCTCCTCCTCCTCCTCCCCCTCGTTGCAAAGCGTCCCGGCCCGTCGTGCTTCCGACGCACATGGCACCGCGAAAGCGGCCAGGAGCGGCAACGCCACGCGGTTTTCATTCACATCTACTCCGGCCTGGGTCAGGGGCCGCGGCTCGCAGGTCCGGAAGTGCACAGCATCACGCACCACGAAGGGAGTTTGCGGTGCGAACATGGGTGCACTTAGCTCGCGCTGCCTTGCAGGCTGGCGAATTGCCCCTCAGCATTATTCGTCGATGGCGGCAGTGGCGGCGGTGATGAGGACATGACGCGCCCCCCGATATGACGCTCCAACCTCCCCGCTCGGAGGAGAAGGACTGGGAGGATGGGGGGGAGGAGGAGGAGGAAGAGGAGGAGGAGGAGGAGGAGGAGGAGGTGGAGGTGGTGGAGGAGGAGGAGGAGGAGGAGGAGGAGGAGGAGGAGGGGGAGGGGGAGGACGGGGAGGGGGAGGAGGAGGAGAATGGAGTTGGATATCCGGGCGGCACGTTTCGGCATCAGCGAGGAAGGCTTGACAGCAGCGAGTGCGGAGCGCCTGGAACGGCGTAGGACTGCTCGTTCGAGAGACCTGTTTGCACGAATATGTCTCGCGCTTTTGTGTGTGAGTGCCCATGGCTCGCATACTGTTGGTTTGCAATGGGCGAGGATGGAGTTGGAGTTGGACTTGGAGGAAAAAGGAGGAGGAGGAGGAGGAGGAGGAGGAGGAGGAGAGGAGGAGGAGCATGAGGGAGTTGAAATTATTCACGTTTCGCTTCAGCTTCGTCGTTGAAGCGCTTCACGCTCCGAAAGAAAGAAGCATATCAAAACAACGGAAACTGACTCTCAGCGTTCCCTCCGGGGCGCGCGCGCCAGGAGATATATCGATCTTCTCCGAGCTGTCTGGCCCGTCCACCGTCCTGCGGTTTTCCCCCCCGCAGGAGGTGTATGGGCTTGTCACCTCAGTTTATTTGTCTTTGCTACTTCCGCATTGACTATATGGCCCTCGGCGATTCCTGTGGCATTGGACCAGTGACAGCAAGCACTACGGCCTCTTCTTCGCAGATGCTATCGACGGTACTGCGTTACTCTGACCCGCACCTGCCGCTCCGCACGTCGGCGGTATCGTGGTACGTTGGCTGAGTGGATGACTGGCTGTTGGTGTCAGTGCCCCTTCGTGTGGCTGCCACGTGGTAGGTGCACAACCTCCGTATTGACGACGGCGCCGGTATGTCACGATCTGCCCTGTTCGTTGATTTGGTTGGCGTTGACTTCTTCATCGGGGCGAACTTTGTACGTGTTCGTCGCGTACCAGTTTGCTGAGGTTCCCTTTGCACGTGGGCTCGGCGTTTCTGCTTGTCGCCTTCGGCCTCTGAACGTGCCGCGTGCCCGCAGCCTCTGTCGTCAGCCGATGCTTTAGGATTGTTTGACCCGCGCGACGGCGCGCGGCCGCACCGCTTGCGTTCGGAAGCAAAAAAGTACACCCACAAACCCATTCAGAACCCCTGCCCTTCAGAGCCGACGGGAATAGGGACGAAAAGACACATCTGGGGAAACAGAGCGAGCAATGGGGTGGTCTTGGAAGGCCTCTTCGGGCCTTCGGGCCATCCCTGGGTGCCGCGCGGGGGCGAGGGGGAGAGGAGGAGGAGGAGGAGGAGGAGGAAGAAGAAGAGGACGAGGAGGACGAGGAGGACGAGGAGGACGAGGAGGCGGATGAGGACGAGGACGAGGAGGACGAGGACTAGGATGAGGACGACGCGGACGAGGACCCATGGAACAATCTAGAGGTATTATTGCGGTTGCTGCTGCTGCTGTTGTTGCTGCTGGTGTTCTCTGGGGGTTGGGGGGGGCCCTCGTGGAACCCTCCCGGTAACCCTGGAAGGTTTGTTTTTGATTATCTTGGGGGCCATCGATTACAGGATGGGGGGGGGGGTCCGCAATTCGGCTCCCCCCATCAGGAGCCGGCGAACCGCTTTGGGGGGCTCTTTTGGGGCGCTTTTGGATGCTTTTGGAGCGGTCTCGGAGTCTTTTGGAGCATCTTGGGAGCCATCTCGGGCCGGGTTGGGCTATTTGGGCCACCTTGGAGGTCATCTTGGGCTCTTTGGGACCGCTCGGGGGCCCCCTGGGGGCCTCCAGGGTGCCTCCTGGGGCCCTGTCGGAGCCGTCTTGGGGCTCTCTTGGGGCTCACTTGGGAGCCCTGGAGCGCCTCTTGGGAGGCACCCGATCGACCAAAGGAGGGAGGCACCCGATCGAGCCCCCCCCCCTTCGGGGGCCACGATCCTCGTGAGGGGTGTCAAAAATTGTCCCTCCGAGGGGCCGGTCTTGAACGTTCCAAGCGATCGCGGCCCCTCCCGTCCAGATCCAGGGGAGGGGGGGTAGTAGGGGGAGGGTTCAAGACACCGCCTCCGCACGCAAACCGTCCAGCTCACTCCCACCCGTCCCCCCACCAAATAGGCGGTATCCGAGTCTCGGCATAGCCAGGGGTCACCATTGGATGGACAGCCAGTGGGAATCAAAGCGGACGCCAGGTGCGCGGCGCTCGCCGCGGACTCCACATGCGGTTGGTGTGCCATCCTAATATATATATATATATATATATATATATATATATATATATATATATATATATATATATAACAATAATGATAATGATAATAATAATAATAATAATAATAATAATAATAATAATAATAATAATAATAATCATAATAATAATAATAATCATAATAATATTAATAATACTAATAATAGTAATAATAACGATAATAATAATATTAATAATAATAATACTAATGATAATAATTGTAATAATAATAATAATACTAATAATATTTTTAAAATATAAAAAAGGTGATACCCCCCGTCCGCAAACTCCAGATGCTGATGTGGGGGGGGCGTCAGCATTCTTCTGGGCCTGCGCACAGCAAGCATCATCATGCGGGCACCAACGCCGCCCCTGTCAAAAAGCCACACAGTGATCGCGGGTGGCCAGCACAATACCCACGACGTTGTCGCAACGTGCATTTTGGATTGTTTTTGACACGGACGGTGGTCCTGCACAAAGCGGCTTCACGAAGGGTGCCCCGCCAACCCTGTCAAAAATAATACCACGTGCGCGCAGGGCGGCAGCGCACAGTCCAGATTTTGCCGCAACGAGCACTTCGTATTGTTTTCTGACACGGATTGCGGAGGGTGTTGGCAGGGTGGGCCCCGCAATGTGCATATTGCATTGTTTTTGTTGACCGGGATGGTGTGGGAGGGCCCTCATGGTGTGCTCATGGTTCCGGGTTGCCTGCCGGCCGGGTGGGGGAGGGGGCGTTTACTATTAGGGAACAGTGATAAACCCCTCCCCGAAGGGGCATAAGGGTTTTGGGAAGAGGAACAAAAAGTCATCGTTAGAACACCTGCGCCCAGATGGCTGGTGGGATTCGAGGAGTAGATGGAGTTTCAGGACGTTCCGGGGGATGTCAACCGACCACGTCGCCGATCCAGGTCAGTCCCGTCCTTGGGCCCAAGATTGGTGCATACGACTCCCTGACTAAGTCAGGAGAGTGTCCTCCCAACTGACGCCCTCCTGGCTCGGCGCGGCCAGGAGTCGGGGGCCGAACAACTGACGCCCTCCTGGCTTGGCCAGAGAGGCACACGCACCGCTCCTGGGCCCCAAATTGGCCCGGTCAGGATCGGTGAGGTGGTCAGTTGACGCCTCCAGGAGGAGGAGGAGGAGGAGGAGGAGGAGGAGGAGGAGGAGGAGGAGGAGGAGGAGGAGGACGATGGATGGCCGCGCTCGAAGCGAGCTCCAAGGCCGACAGCGACCTGCGACCAGGAGGACGAGGAGATCCCCTCCGCCCCCGCCCCCCCGGGGCCCGGCCCGCCCCCCAGCCTCGCAGCCGAACGCCGAGCGGACGCCGCACCCCACGCAGAGGTCCGCAAGGCCCGGCCCGCGCCACCCGCTGGGGGCGCATCGCCCCCTGGCCAGGAGGAGGTGCGCCCAGGCCCCCCAAACTCGGCGGCGAGCGAGGGGCGGGGGGAAGTGACAAGGACAAGGCCTCCTCAGAAGGCGGCGGGGCTTCTCAGAAGCCCTCGCGCCTTCTGAGAAGTGTGTGTGCGTGTACCTTCTGTGAATCAAGCTCACTCCCCTGTAATGTAAGAGGCCCGAGAGGGTTTCCCCCAGAAGCCTCGAGGGCCCTGTGGTTTCATTCCTTGCTTTGTTTCTCCCTGTTTGTATGTATCCCTACCGCCGCCGCTTTTCTCGAATAGGGCCCTTGGCTTCAGAGCATCGTGTACCTCTGCCGCGCAGAGCGAGAAAGCATTATCAGCGATAATATTCCACATCACCGCGGTAGCTTGGAGCGAGGCTCGCTATCCCGGCCCGCGGGGCCGTACATATTGCAACGACGGCGTCTGCGACACGTCTATCCGAGCCAGGCGGCTTCCTCGCGCTGTTGTTCAGCGCCTACGCCAGCGTCAGCGACGCTAGCACCAACGCCTATTTCTCCCACGCCAGCGCCAGCGACGCCAGCATCTTACGCCTACCCTGCCAACTCCAACGCCAGCGTCAGCGACGCCAGCACCTACGCCTCCAACGTCAACTTTTCCAACGCCGGCGTCAGCGACGCCAGCGGCTACAACTTCAACGCCTACTTCTCCAACGCCAGCGTCAGCGACGCCAGCTACTACGCCTACCCTGACTTCTCCAACGCCAGCGTCAGCGACGCCAGCATCAGCGCTCACGTTTCCAACGCCAGCGTCAGCGACGCCAGCATCAACGCTTACTTGTCCTGCGCCAGTGTCAGCGACGCTAGCGACTACGCCTTCAACGCCTACCTCTCTTATGCCAGTGTCAGCGACGCTAGCGACTACGCGTTCAACGACTGCCACTTCTCCTACGCCAGTGTCAGCGACGCTAGCTACTACTCCCACGACGGTGTCAGCGACGCCAGCTACTTCTGTTTCAACGCCAGTGTCAGCGACGCGGCCTACTACAGCATCATCGACAAGACGACAGATAATTACGCAGACAGCGCCATTCCTACTTGGAATGGCGACCCATCAAAGTGGAGAGACTACAAGCAGGAGGTTAACGTCTGGAAGCTCAGCGAGAACCTCGCCGTGGCGCACAGCCTCGCATCGAAGCTCGTGCTGAAGCTCAGCGGGACTGCCCGGGGTGAAGCACTCAACATGGCGGAGGCGCAGCTGCATCCTGCGGCCGCGGCGGATATTGAAGACCCCGACGACAGGAAGCGCAATAGGAACCTAGTCGGCATTGAGAATGTGCCACTGCACCTGGAGGCGAGCTTGGGTCAGCAGAAGCCCGTGCAGAAGGGCGAGACTCTCGAGAAGTTTTTCGAGTCGACTCAACATCGCCGACGCAGAGGTGAGCGCATGACGGATTGGCTCATCCGATTCGAGGCTGGACTGCAGCAGCTACGCGAGAACGAGGTGGACCTCAACGCGCTGGACGACGTGGCGGGATGGCCCCTGCAGCGCTAGGCCGGGCCCGCGGCAGACCGCCGCGAGCGTGTCGTGGGCAACTTGCCCGACGCGCACTACGGCTACCAGCGCGTCCGCGGGCTGCTGGCCAGGGTGTTCCCGGACGTCCGCGCGCCGGGGCGCCGCGCTCCCCCGCCAAGGTTATGGGCCAACCAGTCGCGCTCGCAAGGCGGCTGGCGCAGTAACGTTCCCTCCATCCGCGGGGGGCGCCCTGCCAGCGTCGCGGGCGAGCCGGGCGACGAGAGCGACGAAGAGCAAGAGGAGGGCGACAACGGCGAGGCCGACGCCCAGGACATCGCTCGCCAGGTGCCCGAGGCTTTCAGCGCCGATTTCGAGTCCTCCAACGTGGACATCTCCGGGCTGTTCGACGGCGACGACTCCGCCGACGTCGAAGCTGCCGCAGCGGAACTTGCCGCGATTCCCGAGGCCATGGCCACCATCAGATCGGCCCGGGAGGCCCTCGAGGGCCGCGGCAAGGCGAGGTCCGCACCGCCCCGCCGCCCGACCAAGCTACAGAGCCGGGGCGACCAGCGCAGGAGAAACACTTCGTGTCGGGGCAGCGGCGAGACCGGACACTGGACAGGGGGCAAGGAGTGCCCCGCGCCAGGCGCTCGCAAGTTCGCGCCCAAGGAGGGCAAGTCAAAGGGCGGTGGGCGAGGAGGTCGTGGAGGCCGTCCTTAGCGCCAGGCTCACATCACCGAACAGGTCCAGTTCGCGGACGAGGAGATCGCCCTGCACCCGCAGGGGCCAGTCACGCCGCCCCCAGAGGCTTGCGTCTCGGAGCGGCTCATTCACCACCTGCCGAACGTGAACGTTGCGATCGGCAGCGACAAGCCCGCGGACGAAGGCGTTGGCACGGTCGACGCCGCCTGCCTTCTCTGCGTCTCGGGCAAGAAGTGGTACGACAACTACAAGGACATCCTCACGAGGATGGGGCTTGCCCACCAGATCCTCGAGGAGCCGGTGGACGAGGTCTACAGGTTCGGCAACGGAGGCGCTCTCCCAAGCAAGCTGCGCGTCACCGCGCCGATTGTGCTGTGCGGCCAGGCTGGCCGCATCGAGTTCAGCGTCGTGGACAGCCCCACGCCCGGCCTGCTCTTCGGCCGCGACTTCATCCAGCCTTCCAAGATCGACATTTCTCTCTGGAAGGGCCAGATGCGCATCGGGAACGCCACCCAGAAGCTCACCACGAGCGCCGCGGGCCACCCCGCAATCAAGCTGCAGCCAGAGGACTGGCAGGCCATCAAGGACGCCGGCATGGAGCAACCGCCCCGCGCGGCCAGCTCGTCCGGAAGAAAGCGACAGCTGGACAAGACCCTATACGTTGAGGTCGAGAAAGCGCACGACCAACGGGATCGGGAGACGAGGACAGGTGACCAGCCTACGGACAACAGCACTACCAGGACAAGCGCGCTGATCGACACCATCAACAACCTCGTCACGAAGATTGAGCTGAACGTTCCGAGGCGCCTCCAGACTCGCCGACCGAAGGGGTCGCGGCTACTTTCGGCCGTAGCCTCAGCCCTGGTCTGCTGCTCCACCGCAGCTCCAGATCCGAACCTCGCGCTAGCGACGCTGCCGCAGACGAACAACCCGACGACGTGCGTGACCGAGCCCCTGCATGACTGCATCGCCTGTGGCGTGGCGACCTTCGAGGCCTGCAGCCACCAGGGTTTCTGCTCGGACTGCGTCTTCGGCACGCCCGCAACCCTGAGCCGCGGCCGGGGCGCCATCGCCAACGGCTGCCTCGGACCCGAGGCCAACGTCGCGGAGGAGGAGCGGCTGCGCGTGAGGGCGCTCAAGAAGGGGACGATGCCACAGGTGATCGCCGACAAGCGCTCAGCCTTCGTCACCGGCAAGAGCGGCGTCCAGCCGCGCAAGATCGGCCAGGCCTTGATCGCTAACCTGGCCAAGTCTACAACCAGATCCAGTCCGACCTCTACAGCGAACAGTACCGTGCTCTACGAGTGGCGCTGCAACCCGGACAGCAAGCTCAGCACCGTCTGGAAGAAGGAAGGAGGAGCTGCTGTCAGGTGTGGTCTTCCAGGCTTCGACCTCTCCAAGCAGTTCGCGGTCCAAAAGCTGGAGGGCAGGGTCCGGAAGCACCTTGCCGCAGGCAAGAGTGCGCGAGTTCACGCTGCATTTCCTTGCCAGCTCGTCGTCAAGATCGACCCGAGCAAGATCCCCAAGTTACAAAGGGATCGGGCCAAGTCCAAGCAGATGATCGGCCTGTTCCTGCAGTCGATGTCACGGCTGCGCAAGGAGTTCCGCGCCCAGCTCCCCGCCTCGTTCGAGTGGCCGAGGTACTGCGACGGATGGGGCCCCAACAAGAACGCCATTGCAAAGCAGCTGTAGGGGCAGCTCCCGCGCGCCGTGGACTTCGACGGCTGCGCGACGAAGAATGGGATCCACATCGAGAAGCCGTGGCGGATCATTACCGACCACTTCGGGTTCGACGACTCGCTCAGGCGCTTCTGCAGCGGGGGCCACCCCCACGCAGAGGCCCGCGGGAAGGGCGCGAAGCGCAGCGAGAACTACGCGACCAAGCTCGCGACGGTGCTAGCCGAGCAGCTGCGACGTCCGAACCGCCGACCTGCACGAGAAGCTCACCCTACATCGGCGACGAGAAGGGCAAGCAGAAGGACGGTTCCAGCCGCCGCAGCCGCCCAAGAGCCAGCGCTCACGGCCGCGGAGGAGCGGACGCTACGGTCCGCCATCATACAGCTCCACGCGAAAACGGGGCACCCGTCCAACGATTCACTTGCCCGAGCCATTCGCGTGACTGGTGGGAGGTCCATCGACATGGCTCTCAGCCTCTACTGCGAGGCTTGCGCAGCACATCAGCGACCACTACCGCACCTGCCGGGGCGGATCAGATTGGACAGGGACTTCAACGACTCCATCGGAGTGGACTTGTTCACCCTGGCCGACTACGCTGGCAACCAGCTGGTCTACCTGAACGTGGTCGACCTGGCCTCAGGTTTTACGATGTGCGGCACTGTCGCATCCAGGCACCCATCGGTTGTTTTCGCTCGACTGTTGCAGATTTGGATCACGCCTTTCGGCGCGCCTCAGCGAGGCATATTTGATGGGGGGGGGGGGGGGGGGCGATTTCGAGCGAGAGTTCTCCGAGGAGTTTGAGGATATGGGTTGCCGCCTGATGGCGACATCTGCGGCGACTCCGCAGCAGAACGCTACCGTGGAGCGGGGGTGTGGAAGGTGCACGCGAGGAAGCGGATCGACCAGGTCAGCATCAGGTTCGACCAGCCCGCGGCCGCTCACAAGATGCACTGGATGATCGCCTCCGTGCGCTGGGCCATGAACAGCCAGGTCAACTCCACGGGGTACTCGCCGTCGCAGTGGGTGCTCGGGCGAGGCCTTCGCCTCCCGCATGTCTTGCTGGACAACGCGGGCAGGCTGTCCCCGCGCGAGCGCATCGTG